CCCCCCAGGGGTAGTCTCCCTGGACCAGGCCAGGTGGAGGGAGCTGACATACACACTGAGGACACAGCAGAACTTTCATCCCAAAGCTCAGGATCGCATTCCCCCTCCCCGCAGCATGACCCGCACACTCACCTCCCTCACCCGCCGCCGCCACCCCCGGCCTGCTCACAACGTCCTGTGCGACAGCCGCCAGAGCGCCACCTGAACGATCTGCGCTAAAGTCGCGTGGGTTCAAGGCCCGGAAGTGATGTAGCGGCAGCAAAGGAAGAGGCGGAGCTTCACCTCTGTCAGTGCTGTTTATGGCGAGAATAAGAGACAGGTCTATGGAGAGTGGCGTATGATGGTGAGTTGTTCGCCCTTTCCTATGGTTGGGAATGGGGAAAAAGGTGCGGTATGCTGGTGGCCAGTGCAGTGTTCGTAGCAATAGGGAGAAGGCTCTCCTGGACGTAGACTTCTTTCTTCATTGTACAAGCTAATGTGAACACAGCAGCCGCTTCAACTGTTTGTAATCCCATTCAGTCAAATCTCAGTGTCTACATCTGCAGCTTGTGTTTGAATAACATTTGGCGATCCTGCCATTTCAGGCACTTACTGCAACAGGGTGACAACATTCTATCCCTCTCTTATTGAGGTTCTGGGTTGTCACCCTGATACGAACATACATCTCCAGAACACAATGGATCCATAATCCAAATGTTTCTTGAAGCGATTGCATCACAAACAATGTCAGTGCAACATTTTGAGAACTTTATCAAGCACGTGATAAGTGCAATGAGCAAATATTTAAAGAAGAGCTCCACCAATCAGAAAATAGCAGAAAGAAAGGTGAACCTGACATCTGATGTCATAATGATGTTGTAAACAATGGTGACTAATCATAGGTGTAAAGACAATCACATATCTCCGTACGGATGTAAATGTGTGCTTGCCTCATCATTATTCCTGCCTTCATGCTCCCAATTTACCCCTTCACACAGGCTCCTGACGGACACACGCTTTCTGCAGGCGTGGACCACAGTTATAAATGCAGGGACATTGGTGGGCTCAGGGCAAAGCTTTCATACGTGCCCCACCTTCATCTTTTCATGTAACATAAAGCACAGTGTGCAGAGCGGTGAAGATTAACTGGCCTCAAGTGTGGCTGCTATCACTTTGGGGTTCATTTCTAAAAGTCCCACCCATGCAGAGGGCAGTAGTGCCCCTAGATCAGGGGTAGGCAACCTTGGCTCTCCAGCTGTGCTGAAACTACAAATCCCATCATGCTTCTGCCTCTGGGAGTCATGCTTGTGGCTTGTATTGCCTTATGGGATTTGTAGTTTCAGCACATCTGGAGAGCCAAAGTTGCCTACCCCTGCCCTAGATGGTGCCGATGAGGATAAGGCATTCCTATACTCGCCAATGCCATGTAGGGGGGCTAGTGCCATGCGAATGGCATCTGGGTGGAACTTATATAAATGAACCCCTGGCAGAGGGCCACACAATAGCAACACACCATGTATAGCTGAACAGAGATTAGATATTTATTTGCCACCACATAAGGTGTGCAATGTTTTGGGGACCCCTTTTGCATGCAGCAGTGACCACCGCTTTTCTCCTGCCTCCTTTACCTAAGACATGAGTCCTTCCTCAGCTCTACTCCTGGAAATGCTGTCTAAGGGTAATTCCTTCCCTCCATGTGGTGATGTATGTAACTGAGACATCTATCTAATTTAGCTCCGCACACCATCTATCTACATAGCAATACAAACTTGACAGAGTTCTTAATTATTCCCTAAGGATATACTTTAACCCTTTCACTGCTGGGGTTGTCAGGGTTAAGCCGGCAGCAGCGTCTACATGTAAATAGACTTCTGGCCTGTTAACCTTCTCTGCAGGCTGTCTGCTTTCTTGTAGGTGTGATTTTGGCTATAAAGCCGCTCAGTCACTTCTACAGCTGAGGTGCTACCTGACTGCTCCCCACGCCATGTGTCTCAGGCTTGGGCTCGGCATGGCGGCTTTCATGATGGAGACCGGTGGAAGATGAGCAAACATGTATTTGCTGATCTACCCTGTGAAGAAGCTCTGTCAATCTCTGGCATTATAGGCTGTAGAAGAAGCTGACTGAGTACGATCTTTGCTTGGTCAGCTTCAATAGAGTTCAGACGTGACATTAGGGTTCTAATAGACCTGGTGTCTTCTTAAAGAGAACCTGTCACCTGCACTATGCTATCACATAGGGTGTTTATCAGCCCCCTTGTGATAGCAATACATTATAAAAAGGAAAAAAAAAAGTTTTTTTAAAGTTAAAAAAGCAACATTTTTTCTAAAGCCCCCACGTACACACGTATGAATGTAAACACAAGCGTCAGGTACACATGTCTACATAACCACAATTGCACCACACATATTAGCTATCGCTGTGCACAGTCGCGTGAGAGTAATAATTCTGGGACCATCATTCTCAGTTAACTCTAAAGTGATGAAGCAATTGATGGACAATTTTGGTTGCTGTTGTTTTTCACCATTTCATGGGCACACACAAGGCTTTCATGGGCACACACAAGGCTTTCACGGGCACACACAAGGCTTTCATGGGCACACACAAGGCTTTCATGGGCACACACAAGGCTTGACACGTTTGGTATCCATTTACCCAACACAACCTCATCTTTTATATTTTGCCAATAAATCATTATATTGTGTTTGTGTGCTCTAAAATTCATTTGAGCGTATTTTTCATTTGTGAAAATTTGGATTTGATAAACAGCTACAGGAAATCGCGTTGCATTATACTAAAGGTGCACAGAAATGACAATTTCAAAACTGAAACGAAACCAAAATTTAAAACAAATGTCAGGCCGAAACTGAAAATGTTTTTTTATTTTAACTTTTTTTTAAAATTTCAATATTTTATTTATTTTTTTAGAAACTTTTTCATTTTTTATAAAATATTTTTATTTTTTACTTTACATTTAGGGCATTCGGGGAAATATCAGGGGTCTAAACAGACCCCTGATATTTCCCTTTTAAAATATAAAAAGAGATTGAGGGCACAAAGTCCTAAATCTCTTTTTCTGTATCCCCTGTTATCCTCTATGAGTGTTTCTGTTCCTTCATAACATGAGGACAGAGTATGTTTACTATAACTACAACTATGAATGAACAGGAGGTGATGTAGATCACTCCCATTCATTCATAATTGAGGATATAGTAACCATACTCTGTCCTCAATTATGCACAAACACTGATCGCTGAGTGTTTGCACTCACTCTCCTCTCTGACACACTGTCACAGGAGAGAGAGGAAGAGAGAGGAAATATAGATACAAATTTAATGTATAAAGGTAATTACGCTGGTCCAATATAAGGATAAATGTTAGTCTAAGGCACTGTCCTTCCAGGGGATCGGCCAATATAACAGGTTGGTTGTAGTAATGTTGAAATTACTTCCCAGGTAGGGAGGTACAGCTCCAGCCCTGGAGGCAAGTGGATAGTTGGCCGGACACTACTGCTCACATCAAACAACTTAAAGGGGCAAAAAGCTATGCTTGAAATACCTAGCGACCATACACTTATTCAAATAGAGGAATCACACACGGTGGTATCTAGTGGCACAACTGGTAGATGACAAATCTAAGATATTGAGATAAGCTATGGTAACATATAATACAAGACACTGTGATTGTACATCATGACAAATATCAATACATAATCATTTATAATCTGTATAATCATCATGTTACTGAACGTTGTGGACCTCAGCTGATGCCATGCAATGCAAAGATACATGTGACGTAAGACTATCTACACCGCGCAGGCACAGTGGCACAGGTGCATAGACGATATCCTCATCATTTAGATGGGGTTGTCCCAGGAATTATCTGCATTCATGCACACTCTTAGTTGCAGTGCCTTTAATTTAACCCTTTTGCTGCAATGGCTGTAAATGATATGTCCGTGGCAGCAGAGCCCAATACACTGGCATCTGGGGCTGGCACTATACCTCTGTACCCCTGCTTTTCCCATGCCTCTCTGGGTTGGTTCTACACAGTGATGATGTGGTTCACTGGCTGGTGCTTTGCCCAGTGATTAATGGTGGAGTTGGGAGGGTAGGCTCTCCATACTGCACCTCCTTAGGGCTGGCATCGTCTATTACAATGAGCCTTTGTAATGTATACATAGGGCGACCTTAACCTTTTTTTTGATCAGTCATTATTTATGATTCATTCTATTTTTGTTTAATTTTAAACCACACCAAGCTCATGGACTATAATCTCACATTTAATTTACTAGTGTGCATTGAAATTAGAGTCCATCATGGGAGCGAGATTAGAGCGATGACTAGTTTACAACACACACAGGGACCATGGGGAACAGAAGTAGCCACCCTCCAGAAGGACAGTCTCAGCACCAATTCAGAGATGATTTCAGGACCGATAACTGAGTGATGCACAAAAAAAGCTATATTCTTGTTAATAGTTAAGGTAGTTGAATGCATTTTTGAGATTTAACTCCTGAATTTATGGTCACTTTAAGGCAGATATCGCCTTTTGTCATATTGGGGATCTGTTTATAGAATTCATGTGATATACTGACATTGAACATTTCTACCTATAATTAGGAAGTCATTTTGAGATTAGTACAACCAACCTGTTACATCGTCTGATTGATCAATAATTGCCTAAAAGGAAAGTGCCATAGACCTACATTTATCTTTATATTGGATAAAGGTAATTACCTTTTATACATTTAATATGTATCTATATTTCCTATCAATCTAGAATGACACTAAACCCACCAGGCTGCGTACAGAATCTGTATGCAGCCTGGTGAGATCTGTACGCAGCTTGGTGACATATGTAGTACAGATCCCGTCAGACTGCGTCCAAATCTCGCCAGGCTGCGTCCAGATCTCACTAGGCTGAGTCCAGATGTTACCAGGGCTGCATACAGATCTCACCAGAGCTAAATACAGATCTCAGCAGATTGCGTTCAGAATCTGGACACAGCCGGACACAGCCTGGTGACATCTGGACTTCAGATCCCACCAGGCTGCATACAGATCTCACCAGGTTGCGTACAGAATCTGTGCGCAGCCTGGTGACATATGTAGTCCAGATCCCACCAGGCTGCGTCCAGATCCCAACAGGCTGCGTCCAGATACCACCAGGCTGCGTCCAGATACCACCAGGCTGCGTCCAGATACCACCAGGCTGCGTCCAGATACCACCAGGCTGCGTCCAGATGTCACCAGGCTGCGTCCAGATCCCACCAGGCTGCGTTCAGACCTCACCAGGCTGCCTCCAGATGTCACCAGGCTGCCTCCAGATGTCACCAGGCTGCCTCCAGATGTCACCAGGCTGCGTCCAGATCCCACCAGGCTGCGTCCAGATCTCCCCAGGCTGCTTCCAGATCCCACCAGGCTGCGTCCCGATCCCACCAGGCTGCGTCCAGATCTCACCAGGCTGCGTCCAGATCTCACCAGGCTGCGTCCAGATCTCACCAGGCTGCGTCCAGATCTCACCAGGCTGCGTCCAGATCTCACCAGGCTGCGTCCAGATCTCACCAGGCTGCGTCCAGATCTCACCAGGCTGCGTCCAGATCTCACCAGGCTGCGTCCAGATCTCACCAGGCTGCGTCCAGATCTCACCAGGCTGCGTCCAGATCTCACCAGGCTGCGTCCAGATCTCACCAGGCTGCGTCCAGATCTCACCAGGCTGCGTCCAGATCTCACCAGGCTGCGTCCAGATCTCACCAGGCTGCGTCCAGATCTCACCAGGCTGCGTCCAGATCTCACCAGGCTGCGTCCAGATCTCACCAGGCTGCGTCCAGATCTCACCAGGCTGCTTCCAGATCCCACCAGGCTGCGTCCCGATCCCACCAGGCTGCGTCCAGATCCCACCAGGCTGCGTTCAGATCTCACCAGGCTGCCTCCAGATGTCACCAGGCTGCCTCCAGATGTGACCAGGCTGCCTCCAGATGTGACCAGGCTGCCTCCAGATGTCACCAGGCTGCCTCCAGATGTCACCAGGCTGCGTCCAGATCTCACCAGGGCTGCGTTCAGATCTCCCCAGGCTGTGTTCAGATCTCCCCGGGCTGCGTCCAGATTCCACCAGGCTGCCAATGAGTCTCTCCAGGGCTGCGTATAGATGTCATCAGGGCTGCCCAATGGGTCTCTCCAGCACGGCATAGTGCGTCTCTCCACGCTCACAGGTGCTGTGCTGAGCCTGCTCTACGGGCGCGTAGTGAGCTCCGCCGTTCCAAGACTGTATTCGTGGTGTGGGGCTGCCTCGAGCAGTACCTGGACCAGGAATCAGGAGGAGGAAATGTGGGACCTGGCAGGCATTGTCAAAGACAGCTACTGCCAGTTCCCCGGAAGGCTGCTTCAGGACCCCACAAGCGCGATCCGATTAAAAAATTGAAAGGGCCAATATCGGCCTTCAGCATCTGGTGAATTTTCACGAGTGGGCTACTGGTATGGCCACCCTTCCATCTAGTGCCCCTGCACTTGCCTCTGGGAGGTCCCCATGGTTTAATCTGTGGTGGGTGCAGCTGGATGACAAATGATTATTGTATGCAAGGGTGTGGAATTCATATCGCCCGACGCCCGGGACATGCAGTTTCGGGCGCCGGGCGAGTAGTTTTTTTGTACATTTAGCCCGGCTCCAGACAAGCAGAGCTGAATGTGCTATCGTTTCTGCCCGCACCCCCCGCCGTAGTTTTCGGGGTCCCCCGCTCTCCTGCCATAGAGCCCGTAGAGCAGGCGAAGAACATCTGCTCTACGGGCTCTCTGTGTGTTCTCTAAGACCGTGGCGTTGTAATCACAGCGCCACCTGTCTCGGCTGTCAGGAACTACACAGAACAGCTGTTTTGTGTTGGAGCGCAGGTTCCATAAAGAGAACCTGTCACCTCCAAACTATCACATAAGGGATTTTAATCCCCTATGTGATAGGAAGAACATTAAGTGGTAAAAGTAAATAAATAAAAATGTTAAGAAAATTTAAAAAGTGAATAAAATATATAAAGATATGAAAAAGTAAAAAATAAAAATGAAACCCTGCTGCCCCCGTCATCTGCATGCAAATAAACGCATGCGTAGGACATTCTGCATGTGCTTTGAGATTGCAGCTGCCATTCCATGGTGGTAGCCAGAATTCTCTTACACACACACACACACAATGTGCATTAAAGGGTAAGTTCATTTTCTCAGGTAATATGGAAAAATAAAAATTACCCGATGAAATCTGGCCCCGTCTCTCCCAAACCGTCACCCCCCTGGCAATACTTACCTTTCGGCGAACAATCCCTCCCCTCCGCCAGTATGGGTGTACTATCTGTCCCCCGTACTGCTGTCCAGCGCAGTCCTCCCCTATGCATTTTGAATTTCGCTGGCAAATTGCAAGCACTCATTGGTCAACGTGGTCAGATGACTGCGCTGACCAGTGAGAAGCGCTATTTAGCACAGTCAAATATGTTTTGATTAGGGGTGCACCGATACTAGTATCAGTGCCGATACCGAGTATTTGGGCGAGTACTCGTACTCACCCAAATGCTCCGATACCTTCCCCGATATTGGAACTTACGTCCATATGAAAATTTCCTCTGACTGGGAGGGCCATAGGGGAACATGGAGCCAGCCCGTGCAATCAGGAAGCCGTGCGGCAAGTAATGAACCGCCTCCTGGTTTTCTGATTGGCCGGGAAGCCGGCTCCTTGCTGATTGGCTGGAAAGTCAGCTTCCTGGCCAATCAGCATCGAGCCAGTTTCCCGGTCAAGCAGGTCATTACCCAGCCAATCACAATCAAGCAGGCCAAACAACATGGAGCTGGCTTCCCTGGCAATCAGGAACCTGGGCGGGATGTCATTACCCGCTGCCCGGCTTCCTGATTACCAGGGAAGCCTGCTCCATGCCAGCGGAAGCACCGGTATTAGTATTCAGTGTCGGCGAGATATGAAAGCAAACAAATCTGTACTTGATACCGAAAAAACGGTATTGGTGCATCCTTAGTTTTGATTAAAACTATTTTTTTTGTATTGGGACAAGTAGATTGTCATGAAGTACAAGTCGATTTGGCCCACGCTTTAGCCTTTGGACAAGTCGTTTTTTAAAAAAATTTCCATACCCATGTTGTAAGTCACCCTCACTCAACTGAATCCTCAGCACCTGTTACAGAAATATCTTTTTTTCTTTATAATATAATGTGTGGTTAAGAATATATATACATATTTTGTACAATTATTTGCACTGTGGTACTGTTAAAGTCCAGCCTTCTACTTTTGTAAAGAATCTTTATTCACACTAGCAGCATGGAGGCTGTTATGAGGTTTTTATTGCTCCCTCTCTCATGTCACAGCTCTTTAATTTCAATACACTTTTATTAAAGGATTTCAAAAAACAAAAGAGAATTGCTACATAACAATCCAAGAAAACAAAAGATAGAAACTGTTTCAGAACAGATAAAATATTCAACACATATTGGTTTAGAAGAAGCAACACAGTACTAAGCCAAGCGTACCAAGCTACAAGAGAGCACCATAAAATACATTACAGGGTTAACTAGAGAAAGACTAAAGGACTCCATTTTTCTACTTGGTATCAAAACTCTTTACTGTACCATCTCTAAAGGACATAATCCTCTCATATTGATGATGGAGTCTAACAATCGAAAAGGTTTTGAATATGGGTGGGGCATCAGTGCTTTTCCAATGTCTAACTATAGTTAATTTAGCTGCCAGCAAAACTTGGACATCTATATAGCGAACTGAAGTTGAGAAAATATCAATACCAAGGGAAAGCATAGCCAGAGCAGGATTAGGGGATCTGAGTATTCCTGTGATGGATGAAATTCTATTGAACTGCACACCAAAAGCTTTTCAAGGATCTACAATCTCACATAATATGGTACAGATTCCCCTTCTGTCCGCAACCTCTCCAGCACAGGGGAGAGGAAGATGGATACATCTTAGCCAAATGCTGGGGGGTATAGTACCATCAGAGCATCACTTTATAATAGAGATTCCACAGATCTACACATTTAGTAGCTTTAATTGTGGAAGTAATAGCCTGGATCCATTGATTGGGGGAAAAAGAAGTTTCAAGAACTCTCTCTCACCACAAAAAGGGCTTACATTTTGTGAAAGTGTTTTTGTTTTGAGTTCGGGCGACAGAGAGGCTCTCCAACGCTTTTTTAGATCCGAATGATAGCGTTAGCATGCTTCAAGAAGCACTAGAAATCCACCGCCACCGCTTGTGCTGAATCCACCGCCATTCAGCACAAGCTGGACTTCAATAGCTTATTGAGAATATAAAAGGTAATGCTAGGGGTCTTTTGGACCCCCAGAATCACCTTAAAGAGTACCTGTCACTGCCATTATGCTATCACATGGGTGGCTTGTAAGCCCTCCTATGTGATAGAAATTAAAGTAAAGTTTAAAAAAATAAAAATAAAACAGTTTTAAAAATCAAATTAACTAAGTGAAAATTCAAAAAATGTTTCGAAATGAGAGCAATAGTGAGAGCTTTTTTCTGCGATTGCCGTGCGGATGTCACCCCATTGAGATCAATGGGGTCGGATCACAAAGATCTGCACCAGGCCTGAACGAGAATGAAAATAGGATTTTTGTACTCAATGTAAAATTCCGTTTCTAGGAAGTTAATTGATGGACAATAAGTCCTGCCGTATGAGTTTTTGGTCTACACTAGTTACAAAACTGAGACATTGCTGGGAGTGGGAGAGGTAATAGCAGGATGGTCACTGTCTTTTTTTTTATTGTTTGCCAGTGTTCAGATCCTCTTGTAGGCATCAGTATAGCCCAACTGAATGCTTTGTTCTTTACCAAGAAAAGGATTTTTAGGTAAGTACAAATATCCAATTTTTGCAGCTTGTGTACCTCCTAGTTTTGTAATTTAACTTCTGGCTAAAATGCATTGTGGGTCTTGGAAGCTTGAATTATGGTAGTTTTCTGTGTATCTACCTGCATGAGACAATGACAGCACAAAGCTGGACTTGACTTATTGAAGCTGCTCATTCAGGTGATTGAAGTGGGTGGGGTCTTTGCAGGATACCTTTTAGCGTTCTTTTTATGAAACCTTTAGTGTTCTTACCCATGTGTCATTTCTGAAGCCTGACTGTACTAATGTTTCCTGTCATTCCATCTGCAGATTGACAGCCCTAACCCCAAGTGTGAGCTGGATGATGTGAAAAGTGCTGCTAAAAAGGTATCTTTAAAAAAATATATAACTGAAGTGCTTTTTATTTTCCACTTGCTCACATATAATTTCAAGTAAGTTTCAATGCAATCCATGTGTGTGTGTGTGTATGTGTATTTTTCTCTCAGTGTATGTATGTGTGTAGTAAAAATATGGTTTGTGCTTATTCGCCTGTAGATGTCTCACAATAATACTCCGCTAAAGAGGAGCACAGTGGGTATCCAAGACAGATCATCAACCCGAGAGGTAATGTGGGGTTTTATTTTCTTAAAGCTTGTTGAAGCCTTTCTCTGTGAACTTTCTTGTTTAGTGAACTTTCCTCCTGTAGTAGTAATGTGGAGGTGAATCTTTACTTTTTTTATTTTGGTATGTGTGTGTGTTTTTTAGTCTACAGGTGTTTATCTCCATTGCCCAATTGTGCGTCTTTGCCCCATTTTCTGATCTTGCTCTTTACTGAACTTCCTTTACTGTCCCTTGTCTGCATGTGTCCTTTTCTGTGCTGTCTCTTCTGTGTTTGTGTTGTCAGTATGTTTTACCCATGATCTCAATTCCACCTCCTTTGTCTGTCACTTTTTTTCTCTCCAAACTCGCCTTTTCCCTCTGTTAATTCCCTCATCTCTAACCATCTCCTCCTCTAACTCCCCTTGTTTTACTCCTCATACTCTTTTCCCTCTTGCTTTCTCTTTCCTCTCTCTCTTTGCTCCTTGCTGTCGTCTCACTCACGATCCTCTTTGCCTCTTTTCCCTCCACATCTTTCTCCCCCTTAAGGTGTGCTTTTAACATTGATATTTTCTGTTTTTTGCAGAAAAAGTCAAGGTATTCAAACATCGGACTCAACACAGATGAGAGACACAGACAGGTGTGTCCTGCAATTTTCCTCCTTTGTGCCAGCTCAATGGAAAACTGTTCCGAGACAAATGGGGGGGGGGGCGGCTTGGGGGGGCCTTAGTGT